TCGAGAATGGTCATTCATTTTTAAGCTTTTGTTTATTAGGAGTCAACGTTGTGCAAACTTATGTGAATGACAAAAGACGCATTATATATTTATACAAATTGTGGGAAAGTAGGAAGTTTGTACAAGATTAGGCTGGTACCTAAAATATCAAAAATGTATGAAATGTTCAATGTTTTTCCTATGGCAAACGAGAGCTATTTACCTGTATGACCTTTGTAGAACCCACTTGTTGAATAAATTATTTAAAATATAGATAGTCACGTGGGTTCTACCCAAGTAAGCATCCCTCAAAGGTGCTCACTGTATTGTCAGACTTTCAAGTTTGTATCATTCAAGTAATGCCACTTAGAGATGTTTGTATGTACTGTAAAATCTCAAATTTTCGTGGGGTTAAATTTTAATGGTTTTCAACGTATGAAGAGACCCATGAATTTATGTCCACCATGAAATGTTATTTTTAGCTCACCTGAGCCGAAGGCTCAAGTGAGCTTTTCTGATCACATTTTGTATGTAGTCCGTCTGCCTAGCTGTCCATCCTTCTGTCTGACTCCGTAAACTTTTCACATTTCCGACTTCTTCTCAAGAACCGCTGGGCCAATTTCAACCAAACTTGCCACAAATCACCCTTGGGTGAAGGGGATTCAAGTTTGTTCAAATGAAGGGCCATGCCCTCATTCAAGGGGAGATAATTGGGAATTAATAAAAATTTGGTTGTATGTTTTAAAAATCTTCTCAAGAACCACTGTGCCAAAAAAGATGACACTTATGGGAAAACATCCTCAGGTAGTGTAGATTCAAATTTGTTCAAATCATGACCCCCGGGGGTAGGGCGGGGCCACAATGGCCCACCAAAGTTTTACATAGAAATATATAGGAAAATTCTTTAAATATCTTCTTCTCAAGAACCACTGTGCCAGGAAAGATGAAACTTATATGGAAGCATCCTCAGGTAGTGTAGATTCAAGTTTTCAAATCATCTGTCTGTCTGTCTGTCTGTAAACTTTTCACATTTTCGACTTCTTCTCAAGAACGACTGGGCCAATTTTGACCAAACTTGGTACAAAGAATCCTTGGATGAAGGGGAATTTAAATTGTTAAAATGAAGGGCCAAGTCCCCTCACAAGGGGAGATAATCAAGAAATGACAAAAATAGGGTGGGGTCATTAAAAAATCTTCTCAAGAACCACTGGGCCAGAAAAGCTGAAACTTATGTGGAAGCATACTGGGATAGTGTAGATTCTACATTGTTAAAATCATGACCCCCGGGGATAGGGCGGGGCCACAATGGGGAATCAAAGTTTTACATAGAAATATATAGGAAAAATCTTTAAAAATCTTCTTCTCAAGAACCACTGTGCCAGAAAAGCTGAAACCTATGTGGAAACATCCTGGGGTAGTGTATATTCTAAATTATTCAAATCATGACCCCCGGGGGGTGGGCGGGGCCACAATGGAGAATCAAAGTTTTACATAGTAATATATAGGAAAAAATCTTTGAAAATCTTCTTCTCAATAACCACTGGGGCAAAACCGCTGAAACTTATGTGGAAGCATCTTGGGATAGTGTAGATTCTAAATTGTTCTAATCATGACCCCTGGGGGTAGGACGGGGCCACAATGGGGAATCAAAGTTTTACAATGTTGAATCAAAGCATCATGTGGTAGTGTAGATTTCAAAATGTTTAAATTATGATCATTTGGGTAGGGTAGGGTCACAATATGCATTTTAAGGGGAAATCTGGTAAAGAACGGAATGGTCAAAGTTTCTCATGGGCCTCTTGTTTCAAATGCAGGCGTGCAATTTTCTTAGTTTGTTCACTATGGCTTTAGGCAACTACACAACCTCATTCGATTTGATGAAACAGCGCAAGAAGTATCATTTGGCAAAAGCGCCCATCGATGATCCACTATCGGATTGTTCAAGTGTCAATTTAAATAAACGAAACTCAAAATAGGTTCGGTACGACTTTTCCGGATTTGGGTATCTAGAGGCATTTAAAAATATTCATAGTAGATTTGGGTATCTAGAGGCATTTAAAAATAGTCATATTTGTTTCAAATCCATGCTGATTTAGGTAATGCTAAATGCACTTTTTAATTAGAAATATCCACTAGTGTTTAAAAGCCATTCTCTGTAACCACTTAAATTTCGTTGCCACGCATGGTCACCGATTTTGATGAAACTTCACCCATGCTTAGTACTTGACACCAGAAACAAATATCAAACCAAATTTCATTGCTATGTGTCTCGGTTGCTATGGCAACAGCCGGAAAAGTTTGAAAAATCTAAATTTTCAGCCACTTTAAATCTTGACTTTGGCTTAATAAAAAAAGAAAAAGCAAACAAACCATTCTCACAAAAACATGACACCTTGATGTCACATACTGTAAAGAAACTGTTTAGAATATATCTCTAAGTAAGTGGTAACAAGGGTACTTTTGGAATACATTTAAAATGCTGAAATATGCTTAAAAACACTCCATATTCACTACTGGTAGGTGTTACATGCTCAAACTCAATCAACGACTTAAGAAAAACGATGAAAATGTTTGACCTTAAGTATATAAGTATAAGCAATATTATTCTATAAATAACTTTTATGGTTGCCATGATAACACAGTGTAGCCATGCAAAACCAGTAACTAAGATTGAGTTAATGCTACTGTCTTGAGGAAAAACATGAAAATTCAAGACTGGCAAATATGCATCCTTAGGACCTTGCAACACCAAAACCATAAGAAAAATTGGGCATAATTGCTACTTTGCAGTGTTACCATGGAAACAAAGTACCAGTGCTTAAAAGTGAATTATTTTTCGCTGCATTAAGAATTAAATTGCCATTTAATCAAGAAACAAATTAAAGGACTAAGCTTGAATAGTACTTATCTGTTAGAACTGAAGTTGAATATCATATATTGATAAAATTTGATGAATAAAACAACGCTGTTGCTATGGTTATCAAGGAGGGAAAATGTTCGATTTTGTGAACTTTATATCAATATTATACCCTGTGTGCCAACTTCTTGCATCCACTTAGAGATTGGATGATAGTCAAAATTAAAAGTCAAGTTAGCTGTTAATAAATATCAATCATAAAAGTTTTGGGAATCTACATTTAAGGGTATTATCCAAGGAAAGAAAATATTTTTCAGGTTTTTAGGTCACCTGAGTAACTCAGGTGACCTATTGCTATCTGTTTTTGTCCGTCGTCGTCTGTCGTGTGTTAACATTTGAACATTTTCAGCTTCTTCTCTGAAACCACGGAACCAATTTCAACCAAATTTGGTATACAGCATTTATGGATAAAGGGGAACATAAATTGTGAATTTCATGGTCCCTGCCCCCCTGGGGCCTGGGGGGTGGGGCCAAAACCACCAAAATTATTGCAATCTTTAAAAATCTTCTCCTTTACTCCTGGACATCAAGCAGGCAAACTGTTGGCATGAATGTATTGAGCATTGAGTCCTCTACCAAAATTGTGAAATTCATGGCCCCAGGGTCAGGGGTTCTAGTGCTAGGGCATGGCTATATAGATTATATAGTGAAAATGCATTATTTCTTTAAAAATCTTCTTCTCTGCTCCTGGGTATTAAATAAACTAACTTAGTACATAGTTATTATGAGCAAGAGAGCCTCTTCCAAAACTGTGAATTTTATGGCCCCAGGATCAGGGGTTCTGGTGTTAGGGCGGGGCTCTATTGATTATATAGTGAAAATGCATTTATTCTTTGAAAATCTTCCTCTCTGCTTCTGGGTATTAAATAAACTAACTAAGTATATAGTTATGATGAGCAAGAGTGCCTCTTCCAAAATTGTGAATTTTATGGCCCCAGGGCCAGGGGTTCTGGTGTTAGGGTGGGGCTCTATTGATTATGTAGTGAGAATGCATTTATTCTTTGAAAATCTCTTTCTCCTCTTTTGGGTATTAAATTAGCTAACTAAGCACATATTTATGATGAGCAAGAGTGCCTCTTCCAAAATTGTGAATTTTATGGCCCTAGGATCAGGGTTTCTAGTGCTAGGGAGAGACTATATAGATTATATAGTGAAAATACATTAATTCTTTGAAAATCTTTTCCTATGCTTCTGTGTACTAAGCCAAGGATCCAAGTATATATATTTATGATGAAGAAAGGTGCATCTAGCAAAATGATTATTTTTGATGCCCCCCCCCCCCCCCCCCCCCCCCGGGACATAGTCTGAAAATAAATTAATGCTTTGAAATCTGCTCTTTGGTATTAATCAACCATTTTATGATAAAATTTGCAAAATTTTGAAATATATGTGGTTCCTTTGGGGTGAAGTGCAAAACTTGTTATAAAGTGGAAGTGCATTTTCTCTTTGTTACTCTGATCAACCTCTGGGTATTAATTAATAGAGTAAGCATGCTAAGTTTATAATTATAATAAGCAATGGTGCCTCTTTCAAAATTATGAATTGTAAATTTCATGGCCTCTTGTTTAAAAGACGAACCAAAGTTATTTGTTTGAAAGTTGTTACACGATACTTAGGTGACCTATAAGGCCTGTGGGCCTCTTGTTAAGCATATATTTTCTGCTTATTTCCATAGCAACGCTCTATTTAAAGAATCTAATCTGAATTTTTTCAAATGGGGAAACTTGGAGCACACCAACATCTTATAAAATTGATCAATAGTTAGGCCAGAGTTTTTTTTATTTTCTGTTTAACGGGAATTTTTCAGAAAAAATTGGGTCGAGGGGACGAAATAAAAATAAAAATAAAAGATCAAAATTTGTCGAGTCGGGGCCGTAATAAAAATAAAACCAAAAATTGGTATGAATTTTTTTTTTCATTTAAATGTTGAAAAACGAAAGAAAACACAATACAATTTTGTTTATAATGTATTAGAATTTCAAATACAGATAAAAAGATAATCACACTTGCACATTTTTTCTAGTATGAAAGCAAACCAATATAATATTATAATTTACATTTGTTATACAGCAACAATAATGTCGGATAAACACAGTTGAGAGAAAAAAACACACTGCTTAAAATTTTACACAGGTCTTCAAGTGACCATCTAACTATTGTATAAAATTTATAAAGGTAAAGATGAGAAATGTTTTAAGCTACATGTATATTATGATTTAACAGAAGTTAAAAAAAAGCAGTGGGGTTGATAGCTAACTTGACAATGCTATCTTAGTATAAAGGGATAACACATTATTGAGGTTCTGAATGGAAATTTGTCAGCTGAACTTTTTGATGAACAACAGCAAAGTCATCATGGAAGTCTTCTGAACTCTTCACATATGATTGGGTCTCTGCCAAGAAATCAAACTGCAAAAAAAAAAAGTTCCTTTATGATACTTTATTAGCTAATCAAATTCATGTAGTAAATGGTGGAAAGTAGAAAAAAACAACTATTTACATGAGATTATTTCCTTTTCTAAATGAAGATACAGATATTTTACAAGTTTTTTCTTAGATAAAAATAAATAACAATAGTATCGTTCTTTGTCCTTTTTGCACTAAAGTATTCAATTGTCCACTTCTTTCTATCCTTACCTTTCCACAGGATATGTGCAACTCCAATATAGCTGTCACTTCACTTGTCAGTATTTTATACCAACTCTTTTAATTCTGTAGGAATCCTAGCCTCATTTTATTCATCCAAATAGACATGGACTCGTATCTAAAATATTTTAATCATCATTTTATGTCCCTATAATTAGTTAGACACAATTCATTGTAAAATAAAATTTTGCCGCGAATTTTACCTCAACTTGTTATGTACCATATGTGATTAAATTAAATCTAGAATGCAAACATCTTTAAAAGAAAAAAAAACATATAAAAGTGCTAAACACTCAAAAATGTTTACAGAAAGTTTATATCATTATCAAGACAACGTCTCAAAACTTACCCCAACTATTTGGACACATGCTCCACAGTTCAATGTGTATCTGGTGTATTTAGGTTGTCTATGCTTTAACTCCCATTTCAAGAACTTGCTTGTTTTCATCATCAATGGATTTAAAATAACCGTCTATTAATGTCTTCGACTTGAAATGACGTTCTTGCTTCTTGATAACTTGATAGAACCCGCGAAGTGTGAAAAACTAGTTCCTTAAACTGGTTACGACATCGTAATCAGCAAGACGCTCGTAAAAGACTGTGATCAACACAGACTTTGTCAAACGTTTACATGATTCTTTAGAAATAGGTGTACATCAAACCCGATTTTATTTCAAACCATCAATGAATGACACAGTTGGCGGGTATTTTAAAAATAAAAGTGAAATTGACCTCTTTTATTTTTATTCGGTATTTTGAAGAAATTGGGTCGGCGCTTCCCGTTAAACAGAAAATAAAAAAACTCTGGCCTTATGAGGAAATGTGCTTTTTTTAAAAGATAGGATCAGATTTAAACATACAGAGTGTTACTTTGCTCTCTGTGGTATAAAAACCTTGGCAACCATTGCCAACCAAAATGAAATATCATATTTTGTTCTTGGTAAATGTTTCAAGGCTCTTTTTTCTATTATATGGTCACATTTCATCCTATAATTGCCTTTTATTATTACGTGTATGACTTTATACAATTTAATGAATATTTTTTTTACTTTTGAATACTTTGTTACCATAGTAACTTATGAAATAGTTGATTTACCAAACATGTTTATCATGCATTTGAGACATCTGACCTTCAGCTTTAGGAAACAGTCATTGCCAATTGTTTGCTTTGCCGCAAATGTTTACTATGGTGCTCTAAACATGTTAAAAATTACCATTTTTTGAACTTTAAGACATGTTGCCATGGTAACTATAAAACATAGCAACCAATTTTTGCCTGATTTCAGTTTAGGGCATCAATGACTTTTATCATAGAGAGTTTGGAGAAATTCTGAGACTATGCGTGCCACAGCTCCTAATTATAAAATTTCAAATCATTACAGAGAATGGCTCTTAACTATTACCAAAAAAAGAAAGATTCGATAATATATTCTAAAGTAAATTAATTGGCACTGAAAAAGGGCCCATTAAGTATTGCTTAAGTGCACTTGTCTTTTAATAGCCAAAATTTACATAAAGACATTAATTTTTTATGCACTAAATTACATCAAATTTAAATGTGAACACATGAAAATCAAAAGTGTTCATTTGCTAAGAGAACTTTTGAAATTTTCACTAGAAAGATGGGGTGGGGCCATAATGGGGGATCAAAGTTTAACATAGAAATATATAGGAAAATCTTTTCAATAACCACTTGGTCAGGAAAGATAAAAGTTATGGGGAAGCATCCTCCGGTAGTGTAGAATCAAGTTTGTTCAAATCACCACCCACGGGGATAGGGCAGGACCAAAACAGAAAATCAAAGCTTTACATAGGAATATGTAGGAGAAATCTTTAAAAATCTTCTTTTGGAGAACAGCAAAGCCAAGATTGGTCATACCGTATAAGTGTAAATTTTAGCGAGACGCAAATTTAGCGTAATTTATTTTTAGCAAGATGTAATTTTAGCGATTTAAAAATTCTCACTAAATAAACTATTGCAAATGAAATGCAATAAATTTTTTGGCGATATTCAGTTTTAGCGATCTCAACACCCTCGCTAATAATGCCAAAGTTAAATCCTCGCTAAAAATTCTGCTTATACGGTATTTAAATTGAAGTTTCTTCAGGGGGAGGGGGATGTAGGGTTGGGCTACAATAAAAGATCAAAGTTTTTAGCTCTACTGCTTATGCGATAGTAATGTGTCCGGCGTCCGGCCGTCTATCTGTTTTTCTGTTAACAATTTTTCAAAATGCTACTCCTCCTGCAGTTTTGGTCTGATTTCAATATAACTTGGCACACAAGTAGACTACACTAAGATACATAATTCTGTTTATCGGTTTTTGATTTTGATGAATGGTGTTGCCGTGGTTACTAAAAATAGAAATTTCTTTGAAATTGTTTCAAAATGCTACTCCTCGTACAGTTTTGGTCTGATTTCAGTATTACCTGGCACACAAGTAGATTACACTAGGATACATAATTCTGTATATTGGTTTTTGATTTCGATGAACGGCAAAAACGGTGTTGCGGTGGTTACTAAAAATAGAAATTTCTGTAAAATTGTTTAAGAATGCTACTCCTCCTACAGTTTTGGTCTGAATTCAGTATGAATTGGCACACAAATAGACTACACTAAGATATATAATTCTTTGTATCAGTTTTTGATTTCGCTGAAAAGCAAAAACAGTGTTGCCGTGGTTACTAAAAATAGAAATTTCTTTGAAAAACATTCAAAATGCTAATTCTCCTTCAGTTTTGGTCTGATTTCAATGTAACTTGGCACACTTGTAGACTACACTAAGGTACATAATTCTATATATCAGTTTTTGATTTTGGTGAACGGTGTTGCCGTGGTTACTAAAGATAGAAATTTCTTTGAAAAACATTCAAAATGCTACTCCTCCTACAGTTTTGGTCTGATTTCAAATATAACTTGGAACACAAGTAGACTACACTAAGATACATAATTCTGTATATCGGTTTTTGATTTCAACGAACCTGTTGCCATGGTTACTAAAAATAAAAATTTCTTTGAAAAACATTCAAAATGCTATTCCTCCTACAGTTTTGGTCTGATTTCAATATAACTTGGCACACACTTGGCACTACACTAAGATACATAATTCTGTTTATCGGTTTATTGATTTTGATGAATGGTGTTGCCGTGGTTACTAAAAATAGAAATTTCTTTGAAATTGTTTCAAAATGCTACTCCTCGTACAGTTTTGGTCTGATTTCAATATTACGTGGCACACAAGTAGACTACACTAAGATACATAATTCTGTATATCGGTTTTTGATTTCGATGAACGGTAAAAACGGTGTTGCGGTGGTTACTAAAAATAGAAATTTCTGTGAAATTCTTTCAAAATGCTACTCCTCCTTCAGTTTTGGTCTGATTTCTATAACTTGGCACACATGTAGACTACACTAAGGTACATAATTCTGTATATCGGTTTTTGATTTTGGTGAACGGTGTTGCCGTGGTTACTAAAAATAGAAATTTCTTTGAAAAACATTCAAAATGCTACTTCTCCTACAGTTTTGGTCTGACTTCAAATATAACTTGGAACACAAGTAGACTACACTAAGGTACCTAATTCTGTATATCGGTTTTTGATTTCAACGAACCTGTTGCCATGGTTACTAAAAATAGAAATTTCTTTGAAAAACATTCAAAATGCTACTCCTCCTACAGTTTTGGTCTGACTTCATTATAAATTGGCACACAAATAGACTACACTAAGATATATAATACTTTGTATCAGTTTTTGATTTCGCTGAACAGCAAAAACAGTGTTGCCGTGGTTACTAAAAATAGAAATTTCTTTGAAAAACATTCAAAATGCTACTCCTCCTTCAGTTTTGGTCTGATTTCTATAACTTGGCACACATGTAGACTACACTAAGGTACATAATTCTATATATCGGTTTTTGATTTTGGTGAACGGTGTTGCCGTGGTTACTAAAAATAGAAATTTCTTTGAAAAACATTCAAAATGCTACTTCTCCTACAGTTTTGGTCTGATTTCAAATATAACTTGGAACACAAGTAGACTACACTAAGATACCTAATTCTGTATATCGGTTTTTGATTTCAACGAACCTGTTGCCATGGTTACTAAAAATAGAAATTTCTTTGAAAAACATTCAAAATGCTACTCCTCCTACAGTTTTGGTCTTAGCTGATTTCAATATTATTTGGCACACAAGTAGACTACACTAAGATACATAATCAGTTTTATGATTTTGATCTGATGATTGATGTTGCCATAGTAATTTAAATTGAAAATTCAGTAAAATTTTCTTAAAAGCTACTCCTACAATTGTAGTATTATTGCAATCTTGCCACAAAAAGAGACTTAATCAAGGATCATTATTATATTTATTGCTTTTGTAAAGTTTATATGTCCCAACTGCTATCTTTACTCTTCCTTTATTAGAAGTACAAAGCAGTAGAGCTACTGTCTTGAAAGAGACTTCTGGTTGTAATATACCACACAGATAACAAAGTATGGGTTAGGTGTAAAATAATAAAAAAGGGACCACGGCATTATGCTAAAGTCCAAACATTCTTTCATGTGCTAATACATATTGATGTAAGCATCAACATTTATTGACCTTGACCTTTGACTTTAACACATTTATTTTAAATTAGCGTTTAGCTCAATTTGACATAAACCATACAAATAGTTTTGCAAAGTTTATATGGTGATACGTATTTGTGAGAACTATTCATCTGCATGAGAAATGTTTGATATTGACCTTTCCTATGACCTTGACCTTTACTTTGACCTTTTTGATCTCACTTTTCCTAAATTTGCATTTTGCTTAGTTTTAAAGAAACTATTTAAGATATATTTATGTAAGCTTATGCACTTATTCATTATTTGGTGAGAATTTATCATCTGATAGCCAACTTTTTAGATTTCAATTTCAATATGGGAGTTTCGAGATTGTAACTCTCCTACAACAGAGGTGCAAAAAGTATCCATTTCAGCATGGAGGTGGGACAGGTTGCTTCTGTATACAAACATGCATAAATAAATGAACGTAAAATTTATTTTAAATTTATAGAAAGATAATAATGTTAAACAGTGATGCATTTGATGATTTTATTAAGCTCAACTTTGCATATATACAAATTTAACGTTGTAGTCTTTATAAAAAGTAACCAATTTACTTAATTGTACAAACATTTTCTAAAAAGTCAGTGGTTTTTTGAAGTTAAAATAAGGAAAAAAATCAATGTGTAATTTAGATTTTTCGACATGCAATGATCGAATGCATGTGTACTGTATTTATTAGGAATCCATATCTCTCCCTTTGTCTGAAAAGTTTCACATCCACTCAGGGATCGACACTAACTTTAAAACCATAGTTGTCAGCAGGGGTAGCCATTTCTAATTTCTACTAGCCCTGTTCATGTACTACTTGTCCAACAGCCAAAGCCTGATGGCCGAGTAGTGAAGCGACGAGGGGGGTAGGTGTGGGAGGGGATTTCCCCCTCCTGCTGGTGGGGGTACGGGGGGCCTCCCCTGGGAAATTTTGAAAATAAAGATGCAAAATCCTGCATTCTGGCTTTGGTAAAAATACTCTATGATTGTACCTAGGACAGTTTCTCTATTCGAAAAATTCCATATTTATAATCATTTAGGGTATTTCGAATCACCTTTAAAGTTTACATTTTGATTTACAAAAATAATAATTATGATGATAAAACAGGTTTGAAAATAGATGTAACAATTACCAGGTATATTGTGTGTAAATTATAATTATTTTCTTGCTCTTGGTGAGTAATTGGTAAAATTTACTGTAGCCCTGCAGGGCAAGTTTAAAGACATGTTTGGTAGCCCGACCTCAGTATTCAGTTGTCCCGGGCCAGCGGGCTAGCATTAGTGTCGAACCCTGCCACTGACATTTTCTTTTTTGTTACAATTTTTTTTGCTTAAAATATGACGCCTTTACATTAATTCAGTTATTCTCGAGTTGTAGAGTGTATCCTGACAATCATGTAGCTATGATAAACCAGTATATTGATGATGCAATGTATCCAATATATAAATATCTGTTGCACCTGTCTAATTACGCGGCAACGAAACCCCCCTCCTCAATGAAATAGCGCACCAAGGGAGATACATCTCGAAAGTTGCGTATTGAAAAGAAACTATTCAATTTAAGATATTCTCATCAAATTTCATACACTAATACAGATTTTCCTGTTGCATTACAAATATACCCTCGCTGGGGCATTCATATCCTATGGACATATTTCTTGTTTCTTGAAAATTATTTAGAATTATATATAAGGTTAACAAAAATACAAAATTTATTATGGCTGACCACATATATTAAACAGAACAGCCTTTTGAACATGTATACCCCCATAATGGGTATATCAGATTAAAAATTCTTTGCAAAATTTTGAAAAAGTTAAGTGTAAGAAGATGAGTCTTAAAATCAATAGATCTCAAGTTGGTTTTTAATGAAAAAAAAATTAATGAAGCTTTAGTTCCAGAAAGCAATTAAAGAATTTTGTGTCTTTGTGTGTATAAAATTATTAAAAATCCATTGGACAGTGTGCATAGTGTTAATTACCATAAATAATGTATATAAGATGCTTTGTATGTGCAATGAAACTATAATAAACAAATACCTACTGTCATAACTTGTTTTGTTATTAACCATCTAAAAAGATTAATTTAATAGACAAGTGATAACTAGAATTTCATATCAGTGTAATGCAATTAAAACCGGATTTGTAAAAGTATGGACCTTCCTTAATTGTTGCTATTTTGGATTTCTTCTATGTTATGGTATTAAAGATAGAGACTTACAGAAAAAGAACATTCTGAAAAGTTATTTAACATAAGTTTAAAGGTTTTACTTTGTTATCAAGGGTAAATTTAAAGATTTATGGTAAGTGATTTAAATTATGCAAATTATAAAGAGAGATTGGAATGTCTTACAAGATTCGACTAGTTGCAAATCTGTGTTATTTATGTCTCTGAATATATTAAGAATACATAATCAAAAAAATTTACAGGTAATAATGCCATCTAGTTTTCCTTAATGAATTTACAGGAAATAAAATCAAAAGATTTGCAAATATAATTGATTCCACTAGGTAAGTACGCATGCATGTAAAATTATTCAAATATCGGTACATGTATTGCATTTTATTAGTACAATATTTATTTTTCTTCTGTTTTAATTCAGCTCTACTCCAAGTAAAATGATAATATCATGACAATATCATATCTTTGTCAGGTATTTTTTTTTTCATCAATTACTTTGTTGTGTGTTCTCCTTTTTACAGGTATGTCCATGATGAGGAAAGCCCAGGATGTCAAATCATATTTCAAAACAACAGATTTTCAAGGCAAGACATTTAAGAGTTTTAAGATTTATGTTTGTAAACTATTCAGGCCTTGGAGATAAGTGAGAATGAATATATATTTTTATTACTTTGACAGAAAATACCGACCTGAGATTGAGAAATTTATAGCACAGCTGATGGAGAGAGATGCTTGTGATTCAGAAGTTCTGCCTGATCTAAAATTGAAGGTAAAATATTCTGAGATGAGTGTGAATTTATGTTTTACTTAGCTCATTGAACCCAAGTGCCTTCTATATCTAAGATAAGCACCAGCAGTGATTTTCAGCTTGTGCCTCAGACAAATTTTTATCAGGCTTCCTGCTTTTGATGGAACATCAAAAAACAAAAAAACAGTACAGTCAATACTCCTTTATTTAAGGACATAGGCAATGTACCTTTCCTTTTGATAATTTTTCATGGTATTCTTAATTTAAGATTATAGTGTCAATAGCATATTAAGATGTTCATAGACCAGAAATCAGCAAGCATTAAGGGTTTTTTTTGTTTGAAAGTCATCAATTGATGAAAATTCTTGGATGATTCAAAGAAAAATATATAAAAATTACTAAACATATTTCTAGATGTTTTTTTTCTAAAATCCAAACTTGTTTTGGAAGAAGTGTACAACACCATATATAGACATTTACAGTCCCTGAAACGTTCTACTTTCCCACCTGAACGGTGAACGAACACTTAGCAAACGGTGAGTGAATGATGTGCGAACGCTGAACACAACTTGGTGAACGATGTGTGAATGGTGAACGGTGAGTGAACGCAAAATGCGAAAGGAGCCCGAATGCGAGCGCAAAGTGAATGATGAACGAATGGTGAACGCAAGATGAATGATTTATTCGGAATGCCTCCGATCTTTTCCTTGCATTGAAATTATTCTATTATTCTATAATTCTAATTTCAGTTGCTAAATATAGATAAACAATAGATAAATAAATAATTAAAAATAATAATAAAAACAGTTTTTTTTGTGCACATACCTATGTTTTAAAGCGATATTTAAATAATATAATTTTAATTGCCGTAAAACATGTGTATTTGTTACCAAACGCGTGTAATCTTAATGTAAATTTATCTACTTATATAGTAAATATGCTTATTTTTTTAGCTAATAAAATAATGTGGACTTTAGAAGATAAAACTATTACTTATAGAATGAATTAATTACATTGTACCCAGTTGAAACAACCATACATGTATTTCCGTGCCAAGGTGATTCTGAGTAAAATAATGGATTTTTAGCTCACCTGAGCCAAAGGCTCAAGTGAGCTTTTCTGATCAAAATTTGTCCGTTGTCTGTCGTCGTTGTTGTCGTCGTCGTCGTTGTTGTCGTTAACTTTTCACATTTTCATCTTCTTCTCAAGAACCACTGGGCCAATTTCAACCAAACTTGCTAGAAAGTATCCTTGGGTAAAGGGGATTCAAGTTTGTTCAAATGAAGGGCCACGCCCTTTTCCAAGGGGAGATAATCAGGAATTGGAGAAAAATTAATGGCATTTTTAAAAAATCTTCTTCTCAAGAACCACTGATCCAGGAAAGGTGAAACTCATGTGGAATCATCCTTAGGTAGTGTAGATTCAAGTTTGTTCAAATCATGACCCCTGGGGCTAGGATGGGGCCAAGATGGCAGACTAAAGTTTAACATAGGAATAAATAGGAAAAATCTTTTAAAATCATCCGATGAAGAACAAAAATCATAAAGTTGGTCATATCAATCCTCAGATAGGGTAGATTCAAGTTTGTTTAAATCATGACCCCCAGGGGTAGGGTGGGGCCAAAATGGCCGACTAAAGTTTAACATAGGAATAAATAGGAAAAATCTTTAAAAATCTTCTTCTCAAGAACCACTGGGACAGGAAAGATGAAACTCATGTGGAATCATCCTTAGGTAGTGTAGATTCAAATTTGTTCAAATCATGACCCCCGGGGCTAGGGTGGGCCAAGATGGCAGACTAAAGTTTAACATAGGAATATATAGGAAAAATCTTTAAAAATCTTCTTCTCAAGAACCACTGGGACAGGAAAGATGAAACTCATGTGGAATCATCCTTAGGTAGTGTAGATTCAAATTTGTTCAAATCATGACCCCCGGGACTAGGGTGGGGCCAAAATGGCCGACCAAAGATTATTATAGGAATATATAGGAAAAATCTTTAAAAATCTTCTTCTCAAGAACCACTGATCCAGAAAAGATGAATTAAACTCAAGTGGAATCATTCATAGGTAGTGTAGATTCAAGTTTGTTCAAATCATGACCCCCCGGGGCTAGGATGGGGCCAAAATGGCCGACTAAAGTTTAGCATAGGAATATATAAAAAAAATCTTTTAAAATCTTCTTCTCAAGAACCACTGGGCCAGGAAAAATGGCTGACCAAAGATTATTATAGGAATATATAGGAAAAATCTTTAAAAATCTTCTTCTCAAGAATCACTGATCCAGAAAAGATGAATTAAACTCATGTGGAATCATCCTCAGGTAGTGTAGATTCAAATTTTGTTCAAATCATGACCCCTGGGGCTAGGGTGGGGCCAAAATAGCCGACCAAAGTTTTACATTGGGATATATAGGGAAACCTTTTAAAATCTTCATTTCAAGTACTTCAAAGCCATGGTTAGTGATATTTATATGGAATCATCCTCAGGTAGTGTAGATTCTAGTTTGTTCAAATCATGACCCCCTGGGGGTTAAAATTCACCCCCCCCCCCCTCAGTTAACTTTCAGTTCTGATCTGATATGTGCTTTTTCCTAGCCGATGTGCTCAGGTGAGCGCTGTGGCCCCTGGGCCTCTTGTTTCTTTTAAATTCACAATTGTCTATTGACGCTTTGCATAAAAACACTCGTATTTTAAAAATCTAATGCAAACTAGATGCTGTCATGAGACAGTAATACCCGCACTAAGGTGTTTGCCTCTAAATGCACACTTCTTCATATTGGGCTTTACCAAGGAAAAAGTCAATATAATTCAATAATTTACATATTACATGTTTTATCAAATTGAGCATAATATGCTCAGGTGACCATGTGACCCATGGGCCTCCATCTAATAAGTATTTCATATCCTTAATTCATTACTAGTCTGAATTAAACAACAGAATTAATTAATGATGTAAATAAGGTTTGATAAAGGGGGGGGGGGGGGGGTTATAAATTTTTGGCACATAATTGGAACTTTTTAAATCTATTTTCTCATATCTATAAATCAACAAATAATATTATTCAAATTAGTGTAAAGAGTTTTTGATGAATTTTTCAAAATGTGCAAAGTTTATTTATATTTGACAAGGCAGTTCTAAACTTCTTGAAAGCTGCCATATACATGTATACACAATCAATTTAGTCAACCCCCACCCCTCTCCCATCAACACACACACACAAACACACCTAATTTGCCTGTTTTTGGAAATAGGCCTAGATGGAAAGTTAAGATAAAACATCTTTCGTAAGTTATAATGTTCAATTTGTTCTTGCACTATACATGTATTTGAACACCTGCATCACATTGGGCTTCCGTCACGTACCCAACTTAAGTACTAGTTTTACCATTGGCATTATCATTTTTAGATTTCACTGCACGTGCAGTAGGCTACTAGTGTGGTATACACATCGTTGCATATAGGAATTATTTCATTTTGTGTTTTAATTGGATTATATTTCATGAAGATTACAGGACCTAAATACAGTCAAACCTGTATTAAGAGACCTTCCAATGGAGAAAGGAAAAAAGGTCACATATGACAGGTGGTCTCTTAATACAGGTTGCTTATTTTTTGCAGTGTTCAAATATACAATGCTAAAAAAATCACATGTGTATGTTGAATGTATTTCATAACACCTTATGTTTATTTCCACTCTTTAATAGGTAACTCTTAACTCTAAAATGCTTTCACAATTATCCTGTTAAGAAATAAAAATTTCTTGATCCGCATATAAGTCCTTTGAAAATTGGGGAATATTGTGAACATCTGAAAATATTAATATTTTGTCATACAATATAAAAAAAATGCAAAGCCCCCCCCCCCCCCCCCCCCCCCCGTTTTTTTTTAACATGATAGCCTATATATAACTTAGTATGTTTTGCATATTGCTAGGAAAAAACTGTATCATGATTTTTGTTATGCACTTGGTATCAAATTAAATTATATTTATGACTGAAATATTTATTCAACCTAAATAATTTTTTTTTCATTACTGAACTACCGTGTCTAATTGCCTGTTTGTGACCAGCTATTTAAATCACATCAATTATCACATGGTGTGGGTGCTAGCTAGCGTGTGTTTTCATACCCGTTGTTGACACAATGCACTTAAATAAACATCTATGATTTAGTTACTTGTTAATTAAAGTTAAACAGGCAGGTTTTATAGCTGAATATCCATTTATCCTTATAGTATGAAATGACATCGGGATCGACCTCGAACGTCTGTTTCAAAATGGCGCTCGATCACTGGACAGTAGCCTAGGTCACGCAAGTCGTTTGACCCCCCACTCAAACGCCTTGGAGCATACTGTAGATAAAATTTTCACCACGGGGCGGCGCTGTTAAAGAACGTTAACTCTAAATTTTTATGGCGACTCCGCTGAGTCATTACATTTAAAAAGTAAATAAGCATATACTGTCAAACATTCTATATATTTCTTTTTTTTTTTAAATTCAGCAAGTGATTAGAAAGTGTGTACTCAAACATTTAGACTGATTATTATTTCATCTGCAAACTCCTACACCTGCATACGCACTGTGTGTACCAGATGACTAATGACCTATATAAATTACTACGGCACACTGTAAATAATCTTCAACTTCAAGCATCAATTTCGGTATAACATTGACTTCCCATAACCCGTAGCTAGCACTGCAAATATGTCGAACCTATTTGCTAATTTCTCCAGGCATACTTTCTGTGATGTTTTTAAAGGAAAGTCGATTCTAAGATCAGCCAAAACTCTGCTGTCAAATGTTTATTTTTGTTCAACCAATCACAGGCTTTATCAAATTCTGGATAACCCTCGTTCTGAAGTAAAAATATTTATAGTGGAATGCTCCTAGACGTTTGGTGTGAGACCATGCATCGATGCAACAAACGTGTAGGTGACCTAGACTAACTGGACAGAAAAATGTGATGTTTATGTTTTAGATTTTTATGTTTATTCAATAAATATCAAAGCGTAAGTAAAAA